CTCAAGAGATTTAGAAACCAGATAGGATTAAAGGTTGGAAAGAAAGGGAAAAATTCAGCTCAACTGTAACAATAAATGAAAGAAAAGCGATCGAGAAAGGAGCAAGGAAACTTAGATCCAGCAATTGCTGAGCAGTAAATCTCTTATTTACAATGACTGGGGAAAGGAGACCCTAAGCACAGAGTCCCTATCCACGTATGCCCGAAAGAATGGATGAAAATCTTGATTTTGTTTGGCTTTGTTTATAGTGCTGCGGATCCAACTGGGGGCCTCATGGGCACTAAGCACTGATGCTAGACCCCCAGCCCGTGAAAAGCATCTCTTAAAAACAACATTGAATATCCTTGTGGAATTGGGGCTTTAGAAAAACTATTTGTAATCCAGTGTTTTTAGCTCACATCAGTGTGGCACTCAGTGTTCCTCTCTGGGGCCTGTCAGCCTCCCCTTGCCCGGGTTCTTCCTCCAGCTGTCTCCTAGGCCACCTTCTGGCTTGCACTCTATTCCTCCCAGGAACCTTTGAAGAGCTAGATCGTGTTCTCCTCTGCTTGAACACACCCCAGATTTCCAGGGTTGGCCAGAGTAAAAGCCTAAAGCCTTGTCATGGTTTACACAGCTATCTCAGACTTCCTGTCCCTGCCCCACTTAATTTTTTATCCATCCACTATCAACTCATAACACATGAATGTTTCAAGGCCTTGTAGTTTTATCTGTTCTCCACCCCAAGAATGTAAGCGCCACAAAAGCAAGGATTTGGACCTTTTTGTTCATATACATCCCTGAGCCTAAAGCTGCTTAATATTTGCCCAGTGATCAGCTGTCAACTCTAGGTTCTCAGATAGATATTGCCTTCACCTGACGTATGGACACCTCACTATTCTATGATTTTTCATATAGGCAAGGAAACTCTGCTTTTCAACTTTTTGTTTGGCTTCTCAGATACTATTGATTAAGCTGAGGACCACCATAGAAGTGGTCTCAAACTACCTGAAAAGATCTACAACAGAATAAGAAGCTGCTGTTGCCTCTTCTGTTCTTGTGTGCTCCTCCCTTCCTAACTTTCCTGACTGAGTATACGACGGAAGACCTACAAACCCTAACTAGATGGCCACCTCTGCCCTCCTCTTACTTGCTTTTCTTTCTGTGTGATCAACTTCTGTATTCTTCCAATTGCACAGGTTGGTCATGCCTCACGGATTTCTTTTTCAGTGTAGTGGTCTACCTGACCAGCTTGGGTATTGGGTGAGTAGGCACAAGCATGAGCAGGTTGCGGTCTCTGGACACGTCCACCTGCACCAGTTTGCCTCTGTGACCACCATTATGGTACAGACTGTGTGAAGCGACAGCCTACTTAATGATAGGCCTACAAGTGTTCCTTTCTACATGTGCTAACTGCCTAGCTGAGGAATTTAGAAGAGGGTGTAAGAGGCTAGGTTTCATTCCATAAAGTCTACATTGATGGAGTCATTAGAGATGGTCACTTTATATCATATTCAATACCTCTATAAGCAACTCTAGATTCCTAAGGTATATTTGACCCTTCCTTGTATCTATATTATGGAAAAGCTGGGATTATAATAATCATCATGTTTAACATCACAGAGGAAAAGGAAAGTAGGAAAGGGCAGGTGAAAAGAAAGTAGGGAGGAAAGTAGGGAGGGCATCTAGTATGTCTGCCAGCAGAAAGCGTATCTACATCATTTAGTCTGTTTTTCCAAGACTTCTAGAGTATACACACAATAGTTCTTTCTACATAGATTGTTTGGAGAACAGAGACGAGGGAAGTTTTTTTCAATGTTCACCTGATAATCCAATTATAAATTCATCTCAGGTTACTTTATTTCCTCAGAGTACAAGAGTGTTTTCTAAGTTTGCTTCTGCGAAGTAGAACTAGAAAAAAAAAAAAAAAGCTAATAAGAAGATAGAGGAAGGATCAGAAAGCAAAACAAGATTGAAAGCAATCAGAGGGTACCAAGAAGAAAGATAAAAAGAACTCAAGTTCTGTTTTCCTTGCATTTTAGGGGGCGTTCGTTACTTGAATGCAAAGTACAAACAGACTCAAAAATGATAAAGATAGGAATGGTCAGCTCTGCAAAAAAAGAAGCCGAGCTACTAAAGAATAAAATGTGTTTCTTAATCATGCAGTGATCAAAATTCAATCTATCCTGAGATACCTAAAAGGAAGCATCTCATGCCCAGCTTCCTGCCACATCTAGTCCGCTGCAGCCACTGTTTTTTTTTTTTTTTTTTTTTTTTTTTTTTGAGGAACCGGGGATTGAACTCAGGCCCTTGCGCTTGCCAGGGAAGCACTTATTCCACTGAGCCATCTCCCCGGCCCCCACTGCAGCCACTGTTGAACGTTCTCTGAGTACCTTTTCATTCTGGAAAAAAAAAAAATGCAGCTCCCTGCAGAAATATGTGTGGTGGTGGGAGAACAATTTAACATTTCGTTCTAACGGGACTCTATTTAAACTTTAAACTTTAGCTTATGTTGCAGAGCTCTTTCTGTGTGCCTAGTCTGCAAACTGCACACCTAGGGGCCTTTGTCTTTCTATGCCCTGTATCTGGAATGCCTAGAACAATCGTGCATATGCACTTCCTTCAACAAAAGCTTCTTAGATAAGAGAATGAGTAAATCAACAAATAAAGGTTAACTCATTCTTTTGGTCTAAAATATAATGCTGCATGGCCTGAACATAGCAGAACTATGTAGCTGGCTACAGATGAACATTTGGAATGTGTCCTTTTGGCTATTACTATAATAAATATTACTAAATAATCGGTCAGCTCTCCTACACATGTATATGTATGTGTGAACCCAAGAAAATTGCTTAGCATGTAAGAGGTCAATCCATTGCATTTCTTACTTTGATAGATATTGTATTTCCAAATGACACGCCTAACAGTTTGCAGCAGCTTATATCCTTTCCACAGCTTTTACTGGAGCAACTCAAAACCTAACCATTTATGATAAAAACACATCTTTTTATAATCTAAACAGTCTTTCACCTACAGTTCTTTAATTGACACTGCATCAGACCAGGTCTCAAAAAAAGGAGAAATCCTTTTGGCTTTGCTGAGGGTTTGGAGGAATCCTTTTTCTCAAAGATGAAGCAGTTGTTCCCATGGGCCAGCTTTTAGGAGCTCAGCCAAAATTCATGGCTAGCTGCTTCCTTTGCAAATTCTAATAGTAAAATGTAATTCCAGTAAGGCCTTTTGGTAAGAATTTCAATTACCACATTTTTTTGTGAAATACAAACAATAATTTAAGAGCATGCAGACATCACTGAGATAATATGCATAACTGATATAGGTAGCTGTCATGTAGATATGCTGGAAACCTCACTCAGGCTCTCACAAGGATTCCTCTGCCTATGGACATTAAAATAAGAAAAGTAACCTATATACAGAAAGAAGGTTTCGTTCCCATTAACATTCATGAGGCTGAGCAGCTAAAGTCCTACACATCAAGTAGGAAATATATTCTTTGTCTTCTGATGAGAAAACGTCTCAATGATAAATAGCTACAGAAAGGAGAGTCACCAGGCCAACAGCACACGGAACAGCTCTGACGAACTTTTTTGTGGTCTTCTGTAGCTTTTTATGGCACTGTGGAGCATAGTGCCTATCCCCTCAAATAAAAGACCAATTCCTAACCTTCGCCGACGAGCTTCTTAATCAAAAACCAGACCCCTTGAAAATAACTTAGAACAAAGTTTCAAAGCCTTCATAAGATTCTGAAAAGAAGGGTTTTGCCTCAGCATCCGGGCTGCTCGTGCCTAAAATGCACCTTGTAGTAAGAGCATGGCCATCGAAATGCAATGCTCGTGATGTCAACATTTTTTAATTTTAAAGAAAAAACAATGAAAACGATACAGAATTTCAAAACAAGATAGTAGGAAATTAGCAATGATTAATGCATAGTATAGTTATCTTCAAAGTACCTGCTAGGATTATAAGCTATAGGTATGCAAAATTGATCAAACAATGTAAGCACAAATCAATCTTTCAAGGACCTAATACAAATTAGTATAATTATCTTAGCTTTCTTGTGTGCATATATTTTTTCTTTCAATAGATTCTTAAAATACTTTCCATTCATTTACATAAATTCAAAATTTTATCACACTCATTTAGCAACTTTGTGTGAAAAATTTTATATGAAGTTCTTATCTCAGAAACTAATACGCCGGGGGCTTGCAGGTTAGCTCAGTTGTTTAAACCGCCTGCTGGAGCAAACTCAATCAGGCGCAGGGGACCGTCGTTCGATCCCCAGCTCCGCAATCGCACAGCCTTAGACAGACACACAGACAGACAGGCACACAGACAGGCAGACAGGCAGGCAGACAGACAGGCAGGCAGACACGCAGGCAGACAGAAACTAACATCGCAAAGAATTCAAGCAATGACTATCAGTGAAAATGGAAAGCGCTCGGGCGCACGTTCTCAATGCCGCGGCCGGCCTCTAGGCGGCAGCCTTCTCTCGCCCCTGATCGCCAAGCCCGCGCCCACTCGGCTGAGCGGCCTGGCCCGGAGCAGCCTGCACCTTCCTGCGGGCGCGCGGCCTGAAGAAAACTCCCATTTTTCCCAAACAGAGAAATGCACGACGGCTGTCCCCTGTCCCACAGATCCTCAGGACCACCCTCTCGGCAGTGCACTTGTGAGGGACAGTCTCCGCCAACCGTGCAGTCTGCAAACCGCCAGGGGACCAGAACCCGCGCGGGAACCAGAAGCTCAGAGGAGTTTCCCCCTCCCCCGGAGATGAGGAGGCGGGGCCAGGAGCTGGACTGGGGGCGGGGCTTGGAGTCAACGGCCCCCCCGCCGTGATTTAAGCCCCGCCCCGCGCCCTCAGCCTTCCAGGCGCCTGCGCGCCAGGCTGGGCCTGTGGTTGGCGGTCCTGTTCAGGCTCACCCTCGCGCCCCGCCTCCGCCCTCCGCCCCCGCCCCGCCCACCACCGCCCACTTGACGCGATGACGCACCGCAGGTTTGCGGACGTGGCGGCGGCGCACTGTCCTGAGGGCAGGGACGCGGGCGGCGTCGCGCTCTGCGCCGACCAGGGACTCCGTCATGAACTGCGTGGGGTCGGCGGCGCCTGCGGCGGCCCTGGTATCCGTTCCCTCGCTGCGTGTTCCCCGCTAACGGGCCAGGTGAAGATGGCGGCGCGAGGTGCGGTGCGCGGGTCCGGGCCGGCGGGGTTGGATGCAGCCTCGGGTTCCGCGCGAGGTGAGGCCCGGCGGCGGCGGTGGCGGCTGCGGGGCTCGGTGTAGGTCCGCGGTCCGCCCAGCGCCCAGAGACCGGCAGGACCTTCGGAGCCGGCCCGAGCTGTGTGTCACACCGATTGGGGGTAAACTGAGGCTCGGGAGCGACTCCCTCCTCCCAGCGGGGCTCCGGGGCCTTGCCGCCCAACTTTGGGTTGTCGTGGATACCCGAGACCCGCATCTCGAGCGCGTCGCCCAGGTGTGATGCTGGGCTAGAAAAACATGAGATTTCGTCGTTGCTGGGATAGCAGGGAAAGAAAGAAGAACCAGGCGTGAGAAGTGGAGGGAGAGGGATGCTTTTAAAAACCAGAGTGGCCCCTGGGGGTTCCGGGGGCTGTGGTTCTGTCCTAGTGCGTAGGTCCTGGGCTCTGGGTCTTTCCCCCCTTGCCCTTGGCCGGTAGATCCCAGGCAGGCTGACACCAGCAGCTGTCACTGACTGCGTGCGTGGTTCAGGGTGTCTGGAGAACCCTCTTCAGGTGCAGACTCAGCCGACGGCAGCCTTTTCACCTAATGGTTTTTGTTTGGGCCACTCGTGATGAAGGTAACAATCAGGCTTCTTGCGGTTCCCTGAGGAGGGATTCGTGCCTTTTTCCAGTCCATGGAATCAGAGATTACGGTAAAGAGGACTGTGACACATGGATAGCTCTCTTTAATTCAATGAGTGTCAAGTTAGAATAGTAACTATACTTCTTGGTGATAAATAGTGTAGAACCTCTGGGAGCAGTTGAATAATCTACTTAATATATAGCTGTTAGTATACTAATAGAATCTCTTGAGTTTTTAAAGCATCACAGCACTGACATAGAGCAGGATTAGAAAGTGGCTTTTCAGGATTAAATTCAGTTGTATGTAATAGTTTGAAAAAAATTTTTAAGTATGTCCCTACCTAGAGAACATTGTGTTGTCAGTTTTACAAATTCAGACTTGAGTATTTCTTGTTTTGTTTTGGCTTTTTCCTTCCCCTTTCCACTTGGTCCTCATCCTTAGTGTTCAAGGCAGAATTGAGTCTTCAGGACATCATTTTGCTTTCTTGGTTTCTGTAATACTTATGTGGTTTCTTCATCCTCTGAAAACACTTTCTGTCCTTCCAGCCAGATCCTCTCCTCTATCTTCACCAAGGTGCTGAGTTTTGAAATTCTTTAGCCTCAGTCTTGGGCCTTCTTTTCTTCAAGGTTTAGTGAGAGGCGTTTATTTAATGACTAGGTAATCTCGTCTATACTAGCAGCTGCAATTTCACCTTTGTGCAGCTTAGTCATGACATTATATTTCTCACTGAAACCTTTCCTCTGGTTGTCACTATATAGCTTTCTGTCTGAAAGACAGTGCTTTGTGCTGGCCTTGGAGACTTTTGTACATGCTCCCCTCCTAGGTTCCACCTCTTGGGGAAAGCACCGCCTTTACTCAGTCAGGCAAATTGGAAATCTCTGCAGGCTCTTTAACTTTTCTTTTCATATCTGAGCTACATTAAAGTTCCAGTTAGGTTTGATCCCCAGCCTACAGTGACACCCTTGCCCCCAGGGCAGGCTGAGACTGCAATTGAGACTGGGTGTGGTGGCGCACACCTGTAATACCAGGTTTTGGGAGGCTGTAAACAGGCAGATCATTAGAGTCCAATCTAGTAGTGAGACCCTGAACACCCTGTAGATCTTTCTCTAAAATAAAAAAAAAAATTCCAATTATTTATCACCGAAATGCCTTTTATGTTTTACATTGTTTATAACAACTGAAAGCAAGCTGTCATCTATACTTGATGGCAGAGTTTGAATTTGAGGTTCTTGCATTTGTTTTTAATGAGACTAGATCTACTTGATGAAGGTGTTGAGGGTGACTATGCAAGTAAGTGCGAAGTGTTCATTGATAACAGTTTTTAAGTTAAACCAGTTCTCACTCGTCTTATGATGTTTTCACTAAAGTATTAATGGTCACTGAAAATCTCTTCGGTCTTTATGGACCATATATTGAATCTGAAGAGGAATCTTAATTTGGATGAAAAGCTTTCAAGGGAAGAAAACTTGGCCAAGAGCAAACCATGAGCTATAAAGAAGTCACATATTACACTAAGTAGAGATTGTGACCAAGGTAAACAGTGTTGTGATGCTTCAGTCCCTTGTAAGTTTACAATGCAGAGCAAACGGAAATTTCATGGAAATATTTTGTACGTGTGTATAAAATATATTTTGACATCAGGACTCTTTTAAGTTATAGATATGGACACAGATTTTTAAGACATCTAAAACATTATTTTCCTAATTTCTTCACATTCTGAGAGTATGTTGAACTCGACTTTTGACCTCCTAACACATAGCAGTGTGCTTGGGTAAGATGTGGTTACCTCACATTGTGCGAAGCTGTGCGTTACCACTTCCTCCTGTGCTGGGGTCTTGCCTGCAGAGCATTTTTTGCACTTCAGCGTTTGGAAACCTAAAGTTTGAAATAACTCAAAGCATTATTTAAATAGTCTAGGATGTGTATAAATCAGTCAAATGAACCAGCTACATACCAAAGTGGTCTGCTTTCTTTCTCTCCCCTTCAGACTTCAACGTTATGGCCGGGAGGCATCCGAATCGCAGTTTTCCTCTCCCTGGAGCACAGTCTAGTGGTTTGGACAGTGCTATTTTGGAGGAGGATGCCGAAGTGTATGAGCTTCGATCCAGAGGGAAAGAGAAAGTTCGAAGAAGCACATCAAGAGACAGACTTGATGACATTGTCTTACTAACAAAAGACATACAGGAAGGAGACACCTTAAACGCAATAGCCCTTCAGTACTGCTGTACGGTAAGCTTTAATTTGTTTTATGTAATGTCCAGAATAAATTATTCGTGCATTAGCCCAACCCAAGTGGGAATAAATTCCATGTGATTTCATCATATTCCTTTTTTCTATTCTTACCCTTTACATAGAAATCTATATGATATTGATAGATATTAATTTTTTCAAATTTTAAGTAAATACTTTAATTTCTGTTTATCTCTGAATATATTATCTTAAATATTGAAAAATACCCAAATACATTATCTTATTTTTTTACTTTTTTTTCGTAGTACCAGGATTGAACTCAGGACCTTGTGCTTACCAGCCAAGCTCTTATTTTACTGAGCTATCTCCCTGGCCCCTACATTATCTTATTCATGTAGTAAGAGGATGTAGATTATAAGGAAAAGTATTTCTCTGTCCCAGGTCCTTAGATAGCCAGTGCTGTTTCTTGGTGCATTTCTTTCTGTAGCTTTTTTTTTTTTTTTTTAGCAGAACCAGGGATTGAACTCAGGCCCTTGTGCTTGCCAGGGAAGTGCTTATTCCACTGAGCTATCTTCCCAGCCCCTCTTTCTGTAGCTTTGTATCTGTAAATGTTATATATATTTATAGATATATACTTAGGCTGTGGTTCATTTTTTAAAAATTTGGTGTATACTATCTATGTTACTCTGCCACTTGAAGTTTTCATTTCTTTTTCTTTGTTTTGGTACCAGAGATTGAACTCGGGACCATGTGCTTGCTTGCCAGGCGGGTACCCATGCCTCTGAGCTGTCTCCCCAGCCCCTTCATTTCTTTAGTATACCATGGACAGCTCTCGTAGTCATCCCTCAGAACTCTATTGATTCTAACTTTTTAAAGTAGCTATATAAGGGGCTGGGGAGATAGCTCAGCAGCTTAAGCACCTGCCTGGCAAGCACAAGGGCCTGAGTTCAATCCCCAGTACCACAAAAAATAAATAAATAAATAAATAAATAAATAAAGTAGCTGTATAGTAATATATGGACATACCAAATTTATTAAGTGATTCCTCTGTTCCTAACTAATCAGAATTTTCTGTTTCATATTACACAGTGACTAGCATTACAATCATAGCTTGGGTGGTGGTATCTACTTTCTTTTAGGTAATTCCCAAAAGAGGATTTACACTATATAAAAAGAAAAGACATTTAAAGAGCAATTGATACTAAACTCATTTTACTGTGTCATGTCCATCCTGGGTCCTTAGCAGAATATATTGTCAGGCAGATGCATTGATATTTGAGCTGATTTAAAACTGGTTTTCTAACTTAATGTTCTCATACTGTCAACCCAATAGAATTTAAATTTATCTACTGTCTATCTCCTTGTATATTTTTAAGTGAACTTCTTAAATGCTCCCTAACGGCTTGAAATAATTACAAAGGATATAATTTCCAGAATGTTGACATTATTGATATTTAAAAATAAGACTTTTAGACTACTCCTTAAATATGTCCATGGAATTCTATTCTATTCTATTTCATTTTATTTATTTTGGTACTGGGGATTGAACCCAAGACCTTGTACTTGCCAGGCAGGCACTTAGGCCGTTGAGCTATCTTCTGGGCACATAGCATTCTAAATATTGCAAGAATTATTACCTGGAATCCTCACTTAAAATGTATGTGTGTGTATGTGTGTGTACAAGTAGAAATTATGTGTGTGTGTTTATGTGTAAAAACTCTATATTTAATAATGTGAAATCCTGTATTGTTACTTTTCCTAATATTTTTATCTTCCTGCAGAACCTTTCATTATATGAATTAAAAAAAAAAATTTTTTTAAATGTATTTGGTATAGAGTCTCACTACACAGCTTGAACTTGTAGTAACCCTCCTGTTTTCAGCCTCCCCAGAGCTGGGATTACAAGTGTATACCACCATGCCTGGACTCCATTACCGGTGGGGCATACAGTATCGAGGATCAAATCCTGGTCCCTGCACTTGCTTGAACAGACACTTAGTCTGCTGAGCCATCTCACTGGCCTAAAATATTTTTATACTTGGAAACCTTTTACATATTATTTATGCTACTATGCAATATGAGATCACTGAGAAATAAATGGCTGAATGTGTCTTGGGTCAGAGAAGCAAGGCCAGAAGCAGGGCAGAGATCAAGAGGGTGGTGCAGTGGCTCTAGTGGAGAGTGACTTAGCTTCCCTCTGAGGCACCTGGCAAACACTCTTAGGAGAGAAATTTGAAGAACTGTTTTAGTGATTAAGAATAGGTCGTAAGTCTAGTGAAGCAGAGAAAGTGTTTTGCGCATGTGACAGTCATGTGGAGATGTCAAGGAAGAAAATGGGAAATAGCAGAGAGAGTTTAATAGTTTTTTTCCAAAATGGGTGGCACAGATTGACTTGAGATGAGGGCTTTGGGCATCTTATATAATAGGAGAACCACTCGTGAGGCTTAACCCTAGAGAAACAAACCTGTGGAGGACCTCACTTGTGAATCCAGTAAAGAGGTTGTTGGAATAATTTAAGTGAAGATGATGAGGACTACATTAAAATCTGTGTCTGTGAGAGAGCAGAAGCTTAAAGAAAATACGTTTGGGGAAATCACAGGGTACATGAGCTGATTCATCATTTGAAAGGAAGAATTATGAAAACTGGTTAGCTTAGGAAAGGAGAATGGGCTTGGCTTAGCTGGTGGGAAAGTTGATCCAGCAGAAGTAGGGGATTAAGAGACGCAGGCTCCCTTTTGATGGGAGGTCAACTAGCAATGGATGACTAACCTTACAAAAGGGTTTGTCATTATTTTAGAAATACAGTAAATAGTGCTGTACTCCACCTATAGCCTTAAGAATTATTAAGAATGTGTCCATTATAAAAGTGATGAAAGGAATAAAACAGGGCAGGGTTGGAATCCTACATGTAACCAAGGAAGTTGGCAAGCAGAAAACACTCAGATGATCTAGGTGGAACCTCACCCGTGGAAGCCTGATTCAGAGTGTTCAGTAATCACTAGCAAGAATACAATACCAAACGAAAGAGCATCTGAAGAGAAGGAGTTCAGGCTTTGGGGGTTGTCAGTGAATCTTCATTTGCTTTTTAAAAAAAGGGTTCCAAAGTAATAAGAGGACAAATAGCCCTTATGTTTACTGTCTCATCTCTAAGTAATAGCCCTCTTCATCCACTGCTCCACACAACTCTGCTAGAGAATTTTCCAGCATTCTGCTCTTCATTGATCACTAATCTACACCTGATTTTTCTCTATCACTTCCTCCTAAAAACTCTGCTTGATGTCCTGTGTTCTGTCCTTTGCTGATTTTCTTATTAATAAATAGTGACAGCTAATATTTATATGGCATACTATAGATCACTGTACCAGTGAGTTCTGCAGACATTGTAATTTATTAAATATCTACCCTTACTGGATAAGCTAGGTGGTTTTGTTGCTGACATCTTGCAGGTGTGGAACCTGGATGGCAGAGAGGTTAAATGGCTGTCCCAAAAAAGGAACCCTTCTCCACTGCTGGTGGGAATGTAGACTGGTGCAACCGTTATGGAAATCAGTATGGAGACTCCTTAGAAAA